TGTCTACTGATTTCCCTTGACTATTTAACAATTTTTATTTCCATAGAAAAACATTATTCCATTAAGAAAGTCGTTGTAACACTTGAATGATCTAATCAAGCAGAAATAAACGAAAAGCAAATAAAATATTTAGTGGATTTTACTATTTTTCGTTAATATAATGAGAACTATGATAACCGCTAGCTGAAAAGTGAAATTAAGATAATAAGATAAGAACACTAATGAGTTCCTTTGTGGTGAGCAGTGTCAACTTATCTAATCATTTATAATGATGGAATTCACTCAACCAAGTTTCATTGAGTTCATTGTGATCACAGACAACATTGTGGTTCACTTTCATTAACGCTAACTAGTTGAAGACTATTGGTCACAATGAAGCTTGTTTGACAAAATTCGACCAACCTTAAGGACAAAACGAAATTATACTAATTACTACTTGGTGATCGAGTTATGTAAACACTTCGGTTCCTTAGTAAGTTAGTTACACCCCGGATATCTCATCAAGTAACGTTCCTAGATGTGACATGGAATGACAAAAGTTGAGTTCCCTAAGACGACATTAATCTTCTTGATATTTCTGCAAGAAACACATGTTTATATCAATACAAATACATTATATATCTAATCACTTTTGACAAATCTAATTAAAAGAAACAGAGATCTTGTAGACTCCTAATAAATGATTTGATGACAAATTTCAAAATAAATTTGCTTTTTCAAAGTTCAAAGATTTATAAGTCGAAAAAATTATCAAAAATGTAAGTTCCCTGGTTTCTGACTAATTATATATGTATATGGATTATTATCTAATCCAGAAGGTTGTTCGTCATATCCAAACAGATCTACAATTACACATCTGGTAAGTACTGATCGATATAAGTGCCAGACACATTAAATTCTTTAGCATACTCATATTTCTTTTATTTACACTTTTCTTGTTTACTTAGCATCTGCACTCAATGAAACGCAAAAATGTAATTTTTGTCATTTAAACGCAAAAAGTTTGCGGTTAATTATCCATGTATCTTCCCTCATAATTGTTAAGATCTGTTGATCCATATAATAATAGGGATATTATCTTAGACGCTATGTACTTGAATTTTAATTAGATGAAATTTGAAAAAGTAACTCATATAGCCTGTCTGCAAAATTCGTTAAATATTTTAGGCCAGTAATGACAATATGTTAACTAATTATCCTATTGATAAAACTGATATCGATAATAAAAATTATGTGATAACATTTGAGATTTTAAAATTTAGTGTTGTCTATCATTGTTATGTTTGCTGAATGCTTGACTGACTTGTGTTTGGTACTAAAATACCAAAGTTGACGACGCATAGTGAAAACACAAAGATTGATAATATGGATTTGTTTTATCCTGGAAATAAGTCCATAATACCGGCCTTTGTGTTATCATCATGCGTCGTCAACCTAGACGTTTCAATATCAAGCACAAGTCAGTTAAGCATTCAGCAAAATAGCAGTGACAGACATAACATTTCGGTTCGTATTAGTTGTTTGAATATGATTACTTTCTTTTCAATAGCGTGAAAACAAGTAATCTACTTCGTTTTTGTGTATGGTTTATAAGTACTTTAAGTCAGGGATTCCTACAAACTTTAAGTCCCAGTTGCCTTCTGTTACCTCAGCCCATCAGAACACTATTGCGTTACATCTATTTAATGACTAAGTATATTATTATTAATGGCTTTATTCAATATTATATTTTGGTACAATATAGAATTCTCAACACAAGGTATTTCAACAAGTTTCTTTTACGAAAAACAAAAAACAAAGACAAAAAGGGAAGGAAAAATGGTCAAAAAAAAGTACATAGATAAAATGATTAAAATGTAATAAGTTCATATGTATTTAATTTATATTTCCCTAATGACTACTTCTCATAAGCTTATTTCCTTTCAGTTCGTTCAAACTGTTCAGTTCAATATTCGTCTAGTATCTTCACAACTCAACTCTTTTAATTGAGATCATTTACTTAATCTCACATTCGTCTATATAGTTATATGGAAAATATATATCTAAAGGAGGATAGAAAAGATTGCATCATAAAATGGATTTGAGACTAAATAACAAATGAGGTTACGTACTAATCAAGGGGTAAGGACGAAAATAGTTTCCGGGTCAGATAATAGGCTAATTGACAGATATGAAGAAAAGCGACAAACACAAAGGTCATAATAATAAACTGAATAATAATCAAGAAAACTTGTATAAGGTAATAAGAATAAATGATTAGAGTTTAAAATGGAAAAATAATCAAAAAATGAAGAATATCTGAGCGAACACCTTATTACATATTATGTTCACACAACTATCTTATTATTATTATCTCAATTGACAAGATTAAATTCTCCTACTATGCATTTTATTCACACAAAATTTTTCGCATTTTCATCTTTGCTATAATACTATTCTCTACTTATTGTGACTGAACACTTTACTCCAAATCATCCTGACCTTTATTGAATGACCTTTCTAATTTGTCAAATATTACAATTTTGAATTATATATGTATCGTAACAGATGCAAACGTTCACCATTTTCAACATATAACATTGCCAAATTCATTAATTATGGACTTATAACTGTAGAGCCTGATGATGAAGACAATTGTTTACTCAAATATTCTTCATTTTTTAAATACTCTACGGGGATTTTTAAACTACAAAATAATCATTTGAAAAAATCAATAATAATCAAATAAAAGTGCGGAAAAAAGGAAAAAAACCAGAAACATACCCATTAAGGGAATAAGGGCCAACGAAGGATGAGAGTTTGGACGGATCGTTTCTGCATGCAAAGTTCGGGCTTAAGTTCGTAGATTTCCAATGCCTTAACAGTGCATAAAATATTGATTTGACACCCCTTCGATCATTTTTTTAATCTGTGGTTTAATACAGCCGAATGCATGGTGTTACTCGACTAAATAAATGAATATCTGTCGGCAGAGAAAAATTTCTTAATGGACTCATTTTACTTAATTTTTGACTATCATGTTAGCGAAATATAAACTAGAAATATACTGTTACACTTAGGTTGGATTAAAGTTTTAATGTTGGTTTGTATTAAAAGACCATAAAAATATGTTTTTGTCGATATATATCACAACGTTATCAAATTATCAGAAGGGGTTTTGTGGAGATTTTAATAATTTCAATAGTTGAAATCATGAGTCAATTGAATCTAGACCACCATGGAAGCACTGCTGAGAAGTCCCATACTAGGACGAAACGGCCGTCCAGTGCTTCCAGGTCTTCCATAGTGGTCTAGCTTCAAATGACTCATGATTTCAACTATTGTTATTATATTAGCTCACTATCACATTGCTACTACTTAACAACAGATGAAAATATCATCAAATAGATGTTTCTTTCACTTCAAGAGTTTTTCAACTGTTATAACTCATCATATGTTTCATGTTGAAATAAATGTTATCAACTTAATTGACATTTATTTATTACAGATGATATAAATAATTTTTGTTCGTATTCATTAATCATTTCCAATAAAATCGTAGATTAAAAAGTGGCTTGAAGAATAGAGTAAAAGTATTTTACCACGTAATTCGTTTATAATGTTAAGTGAATACTAATAGACATTTCTTAATCTATATCAAGTTCATCAAAGCGATAATGTCAATCGGTTAATAATGAAAAAAATAAAGCATTAATGATACATATCTTAGATTATAATACGTAATGTTCAATATTAACCCAAGCACTTATGATGTGTACATATATTTTATTAATGACTTAAACATTAACCGTAATATTCCATGTGTTAAATGGTTTCAACGGTAGACAAATGTAACCCTAATTTGTACAATATCTATCCAAAACTTCATAATAACTAATAATCTTTTAAAATGTCAATACCTATCAATATATTACATAAAGATTCAACAGTTCTAAACTTATCTAGTATTTAAAAAATAGTAAAAGTAATCCTATGGAATAATAATCAGTCACTAATATACTGTGGTCGTATTACCTCAGTAATTCATTCCTACATGAAAACAGTAGAATAATTATGACATCTTTAAATATTCAGAGAACTTAACAACAGGCAGTATTAGATAGTTATTTTAGACCCGCTTGAAACTTTTCTCTAGTCTGAATCAACGATTCTCCAAAAAGCAGATTCCATTTACACACAAACCCCAAAAGAAGATTATTAGATTTCACAGGGAACACTGAAATTTACTAGTTGGTATTTCAAATTCGGTCAGTCTGTGATACACCACAAATTCCAGCTAGTATTATTGATGAGTTCCTGTGAACCTATCAATTTGTTTCACTCCACAATTCATTACCTATTACTAGAGCTTTAAATGTAAATATTGTTAATTTGTTCCTAGTTTTCATTGCTTCTTTATTTGGTGCCATTTCTTGATGAAAATTTTCTTCAAGCTGTACTAAATATTCATAAAGTTTCCTTTTTTGAAAACAATCCATAGATTCTAATATACATAATGTGAAGCTCATTTTTGTGGTATCTCGAAGGTACGATACTCATCAGTCAACCTCTACACATTCAATCAACACATGCCGTTCAGTTTCTGCTGCATATTACTTTCTCAGATTCGTTGATATTCTTAAATGGTTTTAACTATCTGTGACCCATTGATATGACTGATTTTCGAGTATATCAATCAAACGAGAATATTAGCGCTATTGAACTCAGAAAAAAGAATACAGTGAACTAGTGTCGCATCATTTGTTTTGACCCACTGACCTAGCTAAATACTGATTGTTAAAATATAACTAGATTCACTGTCTAATAACTCAGACCTTGTATATAGCAATTACAATTCATACTTTTCTAGAAGATTTATGTTAAGTTAGTCACTTAAGGAGTAGATACTAAACTACTTTTGTATCTTAAGTGGTTTTAATGTTATTTGTAAGATTTTATTTTCACTAACCTGGATTTATATTTATCTCCTTTTTACATATTTTATTTTTTTTGCTAAACAGGTTTTCAATCGACTTAATCTCTGATTATTTAGCTTTTGACCCAACTATACTGAGTGAACAAGATAGAACTGATGAATGTGAACTGCCAATTGTTGAAACACAACCATTGCAAATATTAATAGAAACAACTGGTAGCTGGGATATTAATGCTAATTCACCAGAGACTAGTACGTCATCACATGGTAGTTCAGCGAAACGATTTGGTTTTCGTGCCAATGAAAATTTTGTATGCAGAGTTGTCATTAAAACTGAATATTATGTTGTAAGTTTCTTCCATACGCAATTTACTTTCTATGTAACTTTTATTTTACATGACATCATAAATGCGTGCTCTACTTCCTCTACTCAATATAGATCATGTGTTTTGGGTAGTGGATATCAGATACTTCCAAAACTCGTATTTAACATTACCTGTAAATCTTTTTCTGATTTTGTTTGTAATGCAGTGTTGATGTTCATACTGAGACTCGAACTAGCACACATCGTCCAAAGAGTTAATATTATCGACAAAGATATTGAAACAACAGAACTACCAACTTACTCAGAAGTCTTAGTATTTATTATTAGTTTTATGTGTTTGCATTTTTATAGTGCTTATTATTGTGCCATAGTCGTCTGCTGGGTACTGGCTCGTAAATGGTACTAAAAATAACCATAAATTTGACGACTTGTAGTGAAAACAAAAACTGCTGATATGGATCCACCTGATTCTGGGTATATATATGATACGTGAATACATGTTATAATTAGAAGTATTTGAATTATAGTACAAACTAAGAATCCCAGAAATAATGCAATTTAACCAGGAAGTAATAGATGAGCACGAACAAACGTATTGTATTTGGAATTCGAAATAAAGCAGTCAACAAGTACAAAGGAATCATTATTTCATGCAAACACCACAATACACCACTTTTACATTATTTACCGTCAGGTTAGAAGTCAGATTTGTATAAATTGAACTGAGTAGTATTTAATATCCATTATTCACTAACTTTATGTATGCACGCATATTTACGACATCATACAACTAAGCATATACAAATTACATCATTACTACTTTGCAGGATGTGAATACATGTTACAGACTATTGAATATTCATGGCTAATTATATTTTGAATGGTGGATAGGAATAAAGTCCAGAATGGAGGTACATTCAGACGATGGGTTTCATATAAGAAGAAACATACGTTATGGATTCTTCTGATAAAAACTTCCCGAAAAATGATAAATTTGTAAGCGCAAATAGCGTGCGGACGTCCATTTAAGGAACGTGTTTGACAAAAAGGGTAATCAGTCCGTTTTTGAAGATTAACAGTGTGAAACTAAAAGCCTTTATAATTAATATTAAATAAAAAGTGTACCTGATGAATCATCTAATTTTTCAGTATTTCATTTACATAATATTATGTAAAATCAGTTAGCCACATTTAAACTATTCAGAAATACATTAATTTATTGAAAGAAACTTATTCCGGTACATGAGCAAAAAACCTGGAAAATGTTCAACTGATAATCTTTCTGTAATTCGGAACCGACCAGAAAAAAACTGTCAGATATTTTGAGAACAGTTTATATACCAATCACGGTCAATGTACATTGCTGACACACCAGTGTAGAACCCATGTATAGTAGTTGTTAGATGAAGAAGTGTTTACATTCTGTTCGATAAGTTAATTGTTTTTGAGAATTTAATTCACTATGGAGTTATGAATACACAATGCTAAAGAGTCCCAGACTTAATTGAAACGTCTATTAACCATTTCTTGGTTATCAATAGTTCCACAACTATTATTAGTATGTGAATAAAACCATCTTCAAATAGAAGGAATCTTCACAAGTCAACTAACTGAACCGTAGCACTTGTTAGAATAATTATAATGAGTTGCATCCAGAAAACTGACTGCACAGTAATAATAGCAACAATGTCAATGTATTGGTTAATTAAAAAAGGATAAGGCTGCTTCTACAATAATGAGTTAGATAAAATGGTACGTGTGGTCACTTAAGACAAATATTCAGTTTTCTTTCAACTACAGATATCAACCACTATTATAGTCTTAAAATGTTAGGAAATTATCTTGTACTGTTTTCTATCTTTAATTTTTCTTTTTTTTTCAGGTTTATCTAAACGATATGATGTTATCGAACTCTGAACACTTAGTTCCTGTAGGCTCTATTAACGGTTTTGCAATCGATGGTGACTCAGCCATTTCAACTATATTATTTGGTGACTTAAATGCTATTGAAAAATACAATTCTAAACATATTGTACAACATGTTCAATCAAACAATCCCAAAATTATTGAATGTCGACTAACGTCTGATGACTTATTAGCTACTGTTTTATTCAATGATAGTGAAGAACATTCAGAAACTTACGATGACTTCAGTGATAACCATGTTAAGAATAGTAATATCAAAATCAATGTTTTTACTGGTGTTGAACATAACACTAAAAAAGATGATATTTCCAATGGGGAATTTACAATTAAAGAGAATCATTTAGATAGAGAAGAAACATTGGAAGGTACATGTACACAAAATTTAAAAACAGGACATACCGGTTTTTTGTGCAATCCATCAAATTTACTTCACTCTAACAGTGAATTAATAAGTCAATGTCATGACAATAATACAAACAATTTTGTAATTAATAATAACAATCAAAAGTTAAGCAATTCTAGCAAACTAATTAGAGCTTCATCATATCAATTAGTATTTGATGTAGACAGTGATTCAAATGAAGAAATAGACCGAAACGATGAAGTAAATGAAACATCAATAAAAACTGTTAATCTATCTTTATTCAATCAGACAAGAGCTAAAAGTATTCAAAATCTATTTCATTTTCATCATAATCATTATGATAATTTTGATCATATAAATAAATTTATTCATGAATCACAACTATTAATATCCGAAGATCAAGGCAATAACACTGATCGTTTAAAAGATACACTAAATATCTCAATGAATAATTTAATATGTCAGAACAAATCACTAGAATCAAAAGATTTTAATGAAGTGAGTGACTCAAATCAATTATCTGGAAAATTTCCAACATCACAACCATTAGGACTGGTAAGAGAAGAATTTGAATTGGATCAAAATAATGAAGGCAATTTAGAAAGTATTCAAACGAATACGAATAAGTTAAAACAAAAAAATTCAGTTGTTAAAAATACAAATGGAGTATCTTGTCATATGGATTATATGTCTAATTTTGCTAAATCAATAAACAATTTAACAGAAGATGGATCAGAACTAACTAGAAGTACAATGTTGAATGATGAAAAAATAAATGTAGTGAGTAATCGAACAAGCGAAACTATGAATTCATTAGATAATCAAGATCATAAAGGACATGTTATGCCAAAAGAATTAAACAGTATGACATGTGAGTCAAAAATACCCGTATTCAGAAATAATTCATCCAATAAACATACACCTAGTTTAATAACTAATGGATTACAAGAAGTCAAATTTAAACCTTTAAAATCAGCCCGTAAAGGCAGATTTCATCCAAACGAAACTGATTCAAATCCAGATGACTGTTCATTTTTATCCTGCTCAGATAAACAAGGACTAATCCATTCTAGAATTCCACAACCCTTATGTTTAATACCTAATAGTAATAGCAGTAATAATATAGATAAGTCACATAATGGTAGTCAACAATTACCAATAAATGAATCGTCGATAAAACCTGATTGTAACAAATATCCAACCAATAAGCATTCTATTAATGGTATGTCAAAATCAGAAGTTCAAAATGATTCAATTGCGAAGCTTAATACCAATAAAAATGTAATTAATCGAAATCCATTAAAATCAAGTCAGTCTGTTAATAATCGAAAATCTTATCCATTATTAAGTAATGATATGAAATCATTTAGTAACCCGGTGAAAAATGGCACTGATTCTGTAAAAGCATCCTCAATGAACAAATCATCGACAAAATTCACATCTTCATCGTCATCATCTTTGTCATCTCCATCATCACAACCATCAACAACATCGTCCTCTTTATCATCATTGTCAACAAAACTATGCTCGAATTCAGTTGCAAAACCATTATTACGTTCAAATGGATTAAAAAGTCGAAAACAGAAACTCACTGAAACCAATAATAAATCCACAAATGATCGACAACAAGAAAGTTTAATGGATGAAAATCTTGCTAAAATCGATTCGACAACAAAATTCAAGTCTACAAATGATATATCATTGAGTTCAATTTCAACTGATCGAAAACAGAAAGATTATTTGAATGTATTCAATCAATCAATAAGTCAACAGTGTAAGTTAACTAACCAAGTCAATTCAACAACCACAAAATTCAAGGAAAGGGATCATTCAGTACTATCTAACGGACTACTATCTTGTTTAAATGATAAAGAACTGATAAATTGTACACAACCATTATGTGAAAATAAGTATATTTTAAACAAGGTCAGTAATAATTCTACCACTACTGATAATAATAAAATGGACAAATTTAAAGATTCCGTAAAACAAGAAAACGGATTGCACAATGAATATTTAACATTGAATGATCAATTCAATGTAAATCACAATCATGATTCTAGAAATGATGTAAAAAAGCATTTAAATGGTAACATGATAACGATGAAATCAAAATTAACAGGGATTGATGAAATCAACAATTCAAATAATTTACAATCTATTCAAAACAATTATACAGACAACATTAGTATTCATATTCATGATGAGATGACGTTAAATGTGAAAGAAAATAATGATAATTATTTGCCTGCTTCAATAATATCATCATGTACACAGTCAATGACCAATTCAATCACAAACACGCCGGGAATATCTAAGACGTCAACAATATTGACCGAATCAACAATAAATGGTAGTTTATGCTGTGAGAAAAATAAAAATTCTAAAAAATTTATACAATCCCCTAAAAAATGGTTAACCCGTAAGTTATCCATGATTAAAAAAAAACAATGAAGTAGAAAATAATTTATGTGTGCACAGTACATCATTATCAAGTTGATTGCAATATATACAAAACCGGTACACATTTGCTTACACGTTAAATAAACAGTTTATATTTGATAACCGTTTACTAATGACTGATTATTTATCTATGACATTTAATTACAGGTTAAATGTGATATGTATACAATTATTTATAGCAAGTCTTTCATCTACATAATTGGTTCATTGCATGAGAACCTACTCTTTGCTGTTGAAACATATTCATGTCAAGAGATCTCATATGATATTAGAACGCAGAAAACAAACTGTTCACAGTGCAAAACTGTAAACTTTTTATTAGTGAAAACTTATTACTCAGCATGCCATTGACCTTTTTGGTTTATTTTAATATGAAAATAGTAACACGAGTATAATAAAACTCATAATGACCAATAAATCTGTCTTAGGTGTTATTTGGGTGCAAACTTCAAAAATTACTATAATGTGAGAAGAATGACAGCATTTAACTGAGAGCCTAAGTGTGGTATGAGATCTTTTGGAAATAAAATATTGTAAATATCATTGCACTGTGTATGACTTTACGAATATATCCGGATTGAATGAATTTACACATCTTTGCAAACGCCCAACAGCGATGAAAATTTAGGCTTAAAACTGCAAACTCCAATCTGAATATCGAACAGCTGGATAAAATAAGTAGGGAGTCCTGTCTTGACCTGAATTCCAAGTCGAGAACTTTGCTAGACGGATACTTAATTTTTCATTCCAAACTGTTTGTCCTAATACTACAACTACAAAAAATATAGCCTGATCTGTGGTGGAAAATAAATGATATTGCTTGAATTACTATTTATGAGCCGATTATCAGGAGTGCTTAGCAGTTAAGGTATTCGATTTTCAGCTACTAAACCTGTTTCGAACCCAGCTCCTCCTGCTTTGATTTGCGCAAATGGATAGTATTATCAGCCTTCACATATGGTATGACGTATTGCCAAGAAACTGGTGAATAAATGTACCTTAATATTTTATTAGCCCAATTTAGTTTAGATGACTGATATTCGTACAGTTTACACCAATGCTAAATATTTCTGGTACAAATCTCTGGTTAAGGAGAAGTTTTCCCATAATTGGAGATGTAGCTAATTGATAATTAACGATAGATAGAAAATCTAATTTAGATGCTGTATTCCCTACACATTTTCTCCACTTGCTCAATAATAAACAAATTACGCAATTGCACTAAACAGCTGTATGCTTCGTACCCCCATTCTCACCTTCATCGATAAAACTAGATTAGCATTAGGAAGTTATATATAGACGTTATTATTATCTTTATTATTTAACAAAAACATTTGCTTGACAAAGAAATTTGTTTTTATACTTCTTACTTAAAAATATACATTTCATCAGCTAGAAAATTGCAAGATTTAACAGTAAGCACAAGAAAATTACATTCGCAGGAAATACCGAGGCTCGAATTTTATGCATTTGAGTATCGACCAACTGTCAACTTAATTGACAGAACTATAGTTTCAGGTTGATTAACTTTTAAGACTCCTAAACTTTGAAGATAACAGCTACCATACCTAAACATTTATTATGGTTTAGAAAATAGATGTAGCATATGTAAATCACATTCCTCACAGCTTGTTGTAATCAGTGAATTTTCAAAAAAGAATTGAATAAATACCAACAATAACTACAACAAATTCTATGTGAGAAAATGTCGAGTTTACAACACTAACATAATAATAAATTATTTATTCTTTCATCCACTTGTTTTTTTTCTGTTTACTATGACAGCACAAACAAGTCTACAGAGAGAAAACAAACAAACAATATAAATGTTAGAAGCGCCCTATTTTTTGTACAAAAAAAAGTTGATGATAATAATGACATAATAGAAATAAACAAAAAGGAACAATAAAAATGTCAATCAATAAATAAACAAAAATTCCGAAATATTTCAATAAGAATCAACTTAGAAGTCAGAATATCGTAAAACCATTTATGATATTGAAACTTTTAATACGAAACTCATTTTATATATCTATATATTTTACCAAATGATGACAATAGTAATAATAATAATGATAATAATAATAATAATGATAATATGAGATTTGAAAAGTGTCATTATTTTTGTTTGAAACTATAAACAACAATTTATTTCACACACTCATTCATTCAAGTTTATTTTTTATTAATCAACCAAACTAGTAGAGACGAAAGAAAAAGAAAAAAACATATTTACACAATCTCATTAATTTATAAAATTTCACTTTGTATTTTCTAGTTGACATTTTAAAGAAAGGCAAATTTTTCGATACATATTTTTCTATGGAAGTTAAAATTGAATTTTCTAAATATTAAACAAGGAACACTATATATATATATATATATATATATACCAGCTATTATTCAGGAAACTTGATTAACATTGTTAAATATTCAGTTAGTTTTACAGGTTTATATTTTGATTGTGATTTGTAAGTGTAATCAAAAGGAATGTAAAGATTTTCTTTTTACTAATTATAAAATTTAGACCTAATAGAATTACCTTTTATATTATAAATGTTATAAATATTCAGTTTTATATTGTTTGTGAATAAAAGTCTATTCATATTTTATTCTTTATTATTCGTGCGAATTCCTAAATAAATAAATAAGTTAAAAGATACTTTGATAGGAAATATCTGTCCTGCTCCACCTATTTCAGTCTGAGTAATTGGGTAGTATCACTTACCTTTACATATAAAGTGTGGTTCAACATCGAGTACGCGAATCTGTACTTGACAACTTGCATTGTCATTTTTTTTATTCACTAATACTTGTATTATTAAAGCTGATACATAAGCACGAGCATTTCACTTGAGTGACAATGCGTTACTCTTTTATAATGCCCATACAATTTACTGAAAATACAAAACATGAGACTTAGAAGTAAAGGATCATTATCATTACTGTAATCAATAATATAAATGACGCATTGGTGAGAGTTTTGAATATAACGGAAATACCAACATAAGGTTTGAGTTATTGGGCGTGTTTTCCTAACAAGCCATCTATCATAGTTCGTAAAATTGTAATATGACCGGTCTTCTCAAGTTGACAGCTTTTTACTAACAATGATAACTAAAACTACATTTGGTAAATAAAGAAGGAACGAATTGAGCGAAGAAATTTCTTTTCAATTAGTTTTTCATCATGGCTCTACACTAATATATATATGTTTTACAATAATAATAATATAATACCCATCGAGTGGACACGTTACGTAACAATTACATAATGACATTTAAATTAACATTGAGTAATTGGAAGAAAGAGGATTATTAATATTCAAAGTAATCAAGAAGTTGCTATGTTGCGTAATATAAGAAACAAAGAAGGAATAGAATTTTACCGGATGGTCAATAGGATAGTAGTTACGTAAGAAGCAAGAGATGAATGTTGAGAAGTTATAAGGCTCAAAAGCGATAGAAACAAAACTACAAAAATTTAAAATTAAAATAAAAAATGGAAGAAGTATGAAAAATAGTTCTTCTGACGGAAATTTTATACTGAAGGCCAGGGTAGAGAAAGTGGTTGTACGAATTTCTTTTGGATGCAAAGGTCAGGTTTGTGAACATGGATTGCGATGGCTTCCGCAATGTGCAAAAGGCGCACTCGTAAACCATGTGGTAGATTTGATGGAATATTGTAGATAACCTTAAAAGCTTTATTCACTTCGACTTGATGACCTGTGTCAACCAAATGAGAGAGAATAGAACTTTTAATCACTTTCACCTGTCCTTTGCTTAGCCATGTTGGATGATGTTCTGTAATGCGGTGACGGACCTGTCGAATTGTACGCCCTATGTAACTGGCCCCACAGGAGCAGTTGAAACGATAGATACACATAGATTTGGCGAATTCTGGCAGTCTGTCTTTAATGGATGTTCTTATTTTCGGGTGGTTGTAGATGACATTTAATTTGGCAGCATTAAATTTTTTTGTACAGCTCTTCTTAGTTTCTGAGTTATGACTTCTTCAATGGTGTCATTTATGAATTGTAGTTTTATGAATAATACCTTCTTGGGGACAGTGGGTATTTTTGTCCTTGTTTTCTTCTCCGTCATATGTTTTTCGATGAATTTCATTGGGTACCCATTCAGACTGAGTAGGTTCCGAATATTGTTCAATTCATCTTCAATAGTATCTTCAGAACAGATCATTCTAGCACGATGTGTCAAGATCTTTATTAAGTTCCCTTTGTATCTGATTGGAACTGCACTGTGGAAATGAGTGTATTGACCAGCTGCTGACTTTCTGTGTACTCTTCTTTTTATAGTTCCGTCTGTTCTTCTAGTTAGTTGGACATCTAGAAAATATATGCTATTATTCTGTTCATCTTCTGATGTAAAGTTAATTGATGGGTGAACGTTATTAAATATATTAAGTAAATTGTGCTTATCATTTTCTTTTTCTAATACTATGAAGGTATCATCTATATAGCGATAATAAGTTGGTAAATGGGTAATTGTACTTTTAAGTGGTCCATTTTTGCAAGGAAAATGTTAGCCAGTAGAGGGCCCAATGGTGATCCCATGGCGACTCCATCTAGTTGTCTATAGTATCCATTGTCAAGTCTGAATTGGACGTTCATAGTGCATCTAAGAATTAACTGTTTTAACGCGCATGCGGGAATCGGGGTTTCTATGCGTCTCGCCGTTAGTTCATTGCAAATAAATTCAACCTTTTCGAGTAGTGGAATATTAGTGAATAATAATGATACGTCAAGTGATATCATGAATTTATTCTTGACTGATAGATTTTTTATGTTCTCCACAAATTCAAAGGAATCTTTGACACTATGTCTGACAATTTCTTTGTGTAATGGTTGAAGAATTTGCACCAACCATTTTGCTAAATTATGATACGCCGAGTTATTCCTATCTAATACTGGTCGAAGGGGCAAGCCACTTTTCGGTAGGCCATATAGTCTTGGTGTAATTGTTGCTGTAGGTTTCAACATTTCGAACACCTTTTCTGAAATAAAACCTCGTTGTTTAATTTCTTTCAGTGAATCAGTTAGTTGTTTTTCAATCTTGTCTGCTATGTCGTTTTTCACAGCCAGTTTCTGAAATTTGCTTTTATCATTTAGAAAGGCTTTCATTTTGTTTATGTAGTCATTTTTATCCATGAGTACTATCCCATGTCCTTTGTCAGGTATCGTGATTAATAAATTGTCATTAGTTTTAAGTTTTCTTAGAGCTTCTGTATGTTTTTTTTTGTCAAAATCCCTTTCGTGTTATGTCTATGATTTACGTATTTAAAACAACAGTCGACTAGTATTGATTTAAATCTTTCGACATTATCTTTTGATGAGGTTACTAGTTCTGACGTTTGAGCATAAAGACTTTCGAATTGAATTTCCACGTCCATTTTATTGACTGTTTTCTTAAAGTCACAAAACTTAGGGCCTAGTGATAACGCTTCTAACGTAGTTTTGTCCAGCATAACACTAAAGAAATTGTGTACGTACTGATCTGGATTAGATGGAAATTTCATTTCTGGAATTTGTTTGTCTAGATTTTTCTTAAGTTTCATTCTTTTCTTTTCTTGAGTTAACAACCATCTCGACATAGTCCAGATATTGTTCCCTTAATTTATCAGGGAGGTCTTCTACAGCGTAAATTCTCTCATTGATATTTTTTACTACCTCGGTAATGTATGAGTTTAGAGAATCGAATTGGTTAAGAGCGAAGCGTTTGAGAGTCCTTCCATTTGGTCGAACTCGAGAGCGACGTAAAGATTTCCAATACAACTTTGGATACAAGTTGGTTTCTATACATTCCTTTATAAAATCAACATTTGTCATCGCCTCACTGAGCCTTGCGCTATACTTCAGATACTCATTGAGAACCTTTAACGCAAATGTTTGCTCAGAACGTTTCAATATAGTGAAAATTCCCATTTTGCTATTTAGTAAATAAGGAAGGAACGAATTGAGCGAAGAAATTTCTTTTCAATTAGTTTTTCATCATGGCTCTACACTAATATATATATGTTTTACAATAATAATATAATACTCATCGAGTTGATACGTTATGTAATAATTACATAATGACATTTAATATTCCAGTGAGCAGTTATTTCAATAAATTGAAGATGACACTGACAACTTAATAATGTGAAGTGTTATTAAAAATAAAATT